TCAGAGACAAAAAGATTGGATGCCCTTACTGACACACGACTTGGGAAAATAAGCATTTAATTACACCATTTCCTTGATGAGACAACATTTAATGCGGTAAGGCTCGGAAGTGAAAGGTAATAAATGTCCTTAAGGCTGGGCATTTATTACATCCTTGCCGAGAGGAGCTCATTAAATAGTCGGCAGGCCGATGACACAGCCTTGGTTGCTCGGGATCCCGAGCAGTTAAAAGAGAAGACATTCCTCATAGAAATCAGTGTGCACGTTGCCTGTATCTAATGATCACCTACTGACCACACTGACATCAATCATGAGTATTTGAGGTATAAATACTCCTCACAAAAGGCAAGAAAGAAAGGAGGTAAAACCTTTGCTAAAACATATACTCAGTGTTTTCTTCTTCCTCTCTCTCAAAAACTGACTTGATCGTCGGAGGGGATACACCGGAAAACACTCCGGCGCCATTCTAACTTGTCTTTCTTTGTTCCAGGAACCTTCCTCAACCTTACTGGATCGTTCCGTTGATCCACGAGGGTCTCCCATTATCGTTTCAGGTTACCACCGGACCTCACAGGCTGTTCCAAGCAGTAGGGTTGACCACTCAACTGACTTACTCGAGTTCACCAAGGGAGAGATCTGTTCTCGTGTTTATATTATGCAAGATCCAGCACGCACAGGAAACAACAAGTGATCCTTGAGAAATGGTAACATCGATCTCTCTGTAGTTGAGAAAAAATATAAGTCGGGGGATATATTAGCTGAGTTTTTTAATTTCTACGTGTGTAAGAATTGCCTTATGAAAGCTCTGTAAGGTTTTCTTTCTAGGGCTAGAGTAAATGATGGAGATTTGATGTGGTGATTTATAATTTGGTTGAGAGACATATAGGAAATGTACAGATATCTTAGAAATCTTGACCTCAAGAAGGCAAAGTTTTTGCAAGATAAGAAGTACCATTAGACCAAAGCTCCATTGGTACAATTCATTATTTTATGGAAATTGGATTTCCAGAAGAAATGGTGATTAAAGAAATACATGAAAATGGTAAACCCACTCTTATTTCGGGTCTAACCTTATATCCTTGTCTTTCCAAGTTGATTTTTGGATTCAGATTTTTGTTATGATAGGAGAAAGTAATGCAGAAGCCGTACTTGAATCTCTTCTTACATTCTCGGTGAGTAATTTTCGCTTAATCTCGAGTACAATGATACTTTGATGGACATGTTATAATTCAAAGTACTTTTTTGTGTACAGTGGTGTGATCATAGGAATGTTTGATATAACTTATGTTAGGAATATCTATGTTACTTGTATAGTAATGTTGCAGGCCCTTGAGAACCTTGCCCAAGAAAAAGAAGATGTTTCTAATGAACCATGCTCTTCTAAGCCTGAAAGTGTTTTTAAGGATGAGTTCTCAAATGTGGATAGCTGCCCTAGGAATGAGGTATTTTTTGTTTTTGACTTCATATAATTACTATGGTGTTTTTATGTTTTTACAAACTTCATTCAACCCCTACATCCTCTTCCATTAACAAACAATAGGAGATCTTGATTTCATACAAGAGTCATACGCATGAACCAAGCTAGGAATTCGCGCCTTGATTGCCCGCGAAAGCCGTAGCCCTTTGATTACTTAGGAGAACCGGCCTTATTTAGTAAAAGCCTTCTCTTGCTTGATGTTTTCCTATAGCGAGTTATTCCCCGTGATCCACCTATGAGATCGCTGTAATGAGGGCGGCAAGAACCAATATGGGAAAGGTATATATATACACAAAAAACAAAAATCAATAAGGGTATCTTAAAAATCTACAAAGGTGACTCAGAAAAAAATTGTTTCACCATGCTTATGTAATTGACGTTCACCAGCAACTCATTTTGTTGACATTGACCCGATGACATGGTCTTTTCTCATTTGTCAATAGTTTTAACCTAGTCTATAGGTCGTCTCTTCAATGCACAATAGGGGCTCTATTTTTGAATGATATACATTCATAGGTAAAACTCACCCTTAAAAACCAACTTACTAGAGAAAGAAAGGATATTTAGGAGTTCATACACACACGCATACTCAATCATACGCTCGGCCAATGTGGGACACTTGGGATCCCAACAGTGAGTAACATTAAGTTGACTCTGCTTCTGATGGTTGTATCCATGCAATAAATAAATATTAGCAACTATTTTCTGCATAGATAAATCATCATGCATTTTCTTCGGTTTTCACGCCCTTGAAATTTAATTTCTCAAAAATTAATTAAGACATGTCACTTATGTTTTGGATTGTTTTCATGAAATTCTTGCTTATACTTCACAATATGACATAGATATTATTTTCTTTGTTCCAGGAACACACAGACCAATTACTTAAGAAGGATATGGCATTGTCACTTCTAATGGAAATGGGTTACCAAGCTGAGGAGGCTTTGACTGCCATTGAAAGATGTGGTTAGTATATAGTACTTGATGATATATAGAATCCAATTACCCTTATATTTCTTCTACATCATGGTGTTCTATAGAATTCTCTGATCCCAACAGACTTATACCAGTCTTTACTTCTTCTTATCCAGCTTCTAATATTACATTAGTGAGATAATTACACTTGACTCCTTACCCATTGCTGGCTAAGTCTCATTTTATCCCTTCAATATTGAGTTTGTCATTATTCCCTAAATTATTAGAATTGGTTTCATAATTGTTACAAAATTAAACATTCACGTTATTTTGATAGGAAATGTTTGTGTTATTAGATTTTGAAGCAAATTATAGCAAAATCTTATAGTTCTGGGACAAATTTACACAATTTTTCTGAAGAAATAAACAAGAACTCAATGATTTACGTGCTTCAGCTGTCAAGGTAGTAACCTACGTTATCTTGGTCAATCTTTTTCTTCCCAAGTTGTCTGTGTGGTATAGTAGTACTACTTTCCACCCTCTCATATCCTTGGAGTTTCCTCTTCTTGTCCTTTAGAAGAAGAGGAAAAAAGAAAAATGAAAGATCAACATCAGCCAAGATTCAAGAGTAGTTATGCATAGAAGCATTTAGTGGTGCAAGAATGCAGAAAAAGGGACTTCATCTTTGGCTGCGGATAGAGTCTGAGGTGATCTTCATTGGACAAGTCTTCAAGAGAGGTATCGGCATCCTTTTCCATTTGAGCAGTACAAATGAAATCCAATAGATCAACTATGGGCGTCTCTAGACCTGCCACATTTAGTTTAATTCTTGTCTCATATTATATCTCAGATGTCATGTTTCTCACAATATCGTATCGCAAACTATTGTTAATAATATTTCATTATCCACATAACAAACTCCAAATAGAAATTGGATGAAAATGTTGGTGGAGAAGAGAGGATATTATGGGACTTGTTTCTATTTGTGAGTTGATTGTTGAGACCACATTTTTTATGTTCTCTTTATTGGCAGTTACCAAATTAGATTGCACAATTAGTAACATTCTACAATCCTTGTATCCTTATATATTGCTATTGTGATTTCTCTTGAGACATAATGGCCCAATAGATTGTCTCAAAGCTCGTTTGCTTGCTAAAGGATATACCTAAATTTATGGTGTTGACTATTCTGAGATATTTTCTCTTGTTAAAATCTCTTCTATCAGAATTTTAATTTCACTTGCTACTAATTTTCACTCGTCTTTTTTTCAATTTTCAATTAGATGTCAAGAATGCTTTCCTATATAGTGATTTAGCATAAGAGGTTTACATGGAACAATCACCTGAATTTGTAGTTCAAAGGGAGTATTAGGGCCGTGTGTGTAAATTAAAGAAAGCCTTATATGGGTTGAAACAATCTTCGCATGCATGGTTTGAAAAGTTTTCAGAGGCAGTATTAAAGTTTGGTCTTTATAGGTGCCAAATAGACTACTTCGTATTTTATTTAGGAACTAAGGCTAGTAATATCCTTCTTGTTGTTTATGTTGATAATATTGTGATTACAAATGATGATTTTGTGGGTATTGTAAAGTTGAAACACTTTTTATAGCATGAGTTTCATACCAAAGATTTAGACAAACTTAGATATTTTTTTGGTATCAAAGTTGTTAGATCTAAACATGACATAAGTTTATCTTAGAGAAAATATGCGGTTGATCTTTTGGAGGAAACAGGATTTTTATGTGGTCAACCAATGGACATTCCTATGGATTCAATTCATAAACTCTTAGAGAGTAAGGGTGAATGCTTCTTTAATCCTGGACAATATCGCCGTTTAGTTGGAAAGTTGGAGACGGATTTTATTTTCGTAGTTCATGTCCAAGTCCATTAATAATGTAAAATTCAATTCAGAATTTGCTTCAATCTAAATAATTTAATTAACTAAATTTCAACTAAATTTTTTTAAATAATCACTTAATTTCTTTAATATTTATATATAAATATATAATATAAAACACGGAAAGTTTCAATAAGTTCATTCGACAGTCTCAAATAGAGTTATTTAATGACCATCAATATTTCTTTCACAATTATTCACATTACACCGTACTTTCAAACACGGGTTACCCCTAATATATAAATAATTTGAGTTGGATATGAATATATCTAAATCTCAATTCTTGAAATATAAAATATTGGATACAAATTATCAGTAAAAAAATCAATTTATATCCAGTTAATTTGATTTTTTTTTTTAACACTCTGTTAATTTGATTTGAATTTGGATTAAAATCCAATCCGTCTACTCTCAAGCAGTTTCCACTCGATCTCTTCTCCAGGTCTCTCCGTCTCTCCAGGCTCTTTCTCTGCTCGCTGTCGTGCCATAATACCCTATGTGTGGCAATCATCTCTCTATCTTCACTCTCCCACATTGTTTTAAAACTCGCCCCGGCTCAACGGGTTGACCCAGTGAACCGGAGTTTAAACGAGGCTGGTTCACCTGTAGGATCGTTTGTGCACTAAAACCAGATTAAACCTCCTGAACCGGATGAAAACCTGTTGAAACGTTAAAATGGGACAAGTTTAAGCAAACCGGTTGGATCAATTAAATTAGGATAAAACGCTGAGCTTTGCCCCTTCCCCTTTTGGGCATTTTGCCCTAAATCGTTTCAAGCCTTGACCACCCCAGGCACCCCACCTACTGCTCCGCGTCTCTGCCTTGTCGACGCCCCTCTCAGCCGGCACCTCTCTCGCTCTCTCTCTCTCTCTCTCTCTCTCTCTCTGCGCCGCGAGCAAGCAAGGGTCTCCTCAATCGAAGTGGAACGAGTGAAGGAACAAGAGCTTCGATCAAGAAGGCTGCTTCAGAGCTTCTATCGAGGCTTCGACGACTACCATTGACAGTAGCAGGTACAAACTACCTCTCTCGGTCTCTCTTTCGGTCTCTCTACTCAGTCTCTGACTCTAGGGTTCACAATTTCTCTCTCTCTCTCTCTCTCTCTCTCTCTCTCTCTCTATATATATATATATATATATATATATATATATGAAAGTTTATAGTATTTATATGTGTTCTTAAGTTAAAATTTGAGTTGTAATGAATTGGGTTTTGGTGGGTGAAGAAATTTATGTCCTCGGGAGCGAAGAAAACGCTGAAAGAGGAGACAATTGAGAGTCTGAAATCAATGACGCCTTGAATCTTTGATAATTCTATGATTTATACATGGATGGAAAGCTCTTGTTCGAATTTATACATGGAATAATTCAATGATTAATTATACACTGACTCAATTTATACAGATTAGGCATTTTTCTCTACTCAACTTTACAAGTTGAATTGAAAATTGAATGCAGTTGATGCATGTTTGATATTTTTGATGTTATTTTCATAATTATTGTGATTTTTTAGCCTATATATAATTATTTGTTAGTTTTTATTTTATTACCAGTTCGACCTTTGACCCAATGGGATTGGGATTTTAATACTGTGCTCTCCCATCTTCCATGTCTTTGGACAGGGATCTCATCTCCGAAAGTCTTGGTTGTGATTTCATCTCGTCTCAGTCGTATGCAAGCAAGCTTCAGTTTAGGTAATTTTTTGCAGCTCTCTCCCTTAAATTTCTGTCACTTTCTTTGTAGAGTGAGACATAGATATAACTTCAGATGTGTACTTATTGATCTTTCTGCCACCACTCATTAACGATAGGTCTCGATTTGGCATAGAAAACATCCCTCACACACTGCATCCAACTGATCCCACCAAACATCTCCATTTTTTTGCCTCTTTCTATTTTTATCACTTACAAAGGTGATCGTCTAGGCTCGCAAGATTGGGTTTTTACACCCACAGCTTTTGGATTGGTGAGTATTAATATAGTGATTTCAAATTTGTATATATTCTAGTTCTAAAACTGCTACTGAGATCATTTGTGTATATTAAGAGACTTTATCTTTATTATTAGAGACCCCCTTAGAATGCACTTAATTATCCTGATTTGTGGACATGTTTCATATTATTTGATTTTGTTTGACCCAGTATACATAAAGCATGTAATTGTTATAAAACATAATATATTAGCTTAATTAATACTTTTGTATATTTTTTTTAAATTAAAATTATTATATGACCGGTCCAACCAATCAATCCAACGGTTGATCTAGTGACTCATTGACCCGGTCCCACGCCGAGTCGATGCGCGGTCCAGTTTTAATAACTTCAAGTTTCAACTATCAGATTTGGTGAGCAGTAGTTCTATTTTATATGCATGTCCGTATATATAAGCTTGGCTTTTGATCTGTAAAGAATCACAGCATATCGATGTAGGACGGAGGGAAGGTATGCCTCATGACAGAGACAAGCCGCCTGCAGTTCGTGTTTATACAGTTTGTGACGAATCCAAGTACGCTTCTGTCTGTTAGACATATATCTATTTTATTGTAGTTTTTTTCTAATTTTGATATTTTTAGTATTTCTTGCTAATATTTAATTAGTTTCTACGTGTTTGGGACAGATATTTGATTGTGAGGAATGTTCCAGCTTTGGGTTGTGGTGATGAGTTGTTAAAATTGTTCAGTACCTATGGAGAGGTTGAAGAGTAAGCTCTCTCTCTCTCTCTCTCTCTGTTGATTTTTTAGGTTGCTTAAAAATCAAATTTTGCACTTATATGAAATGGGTTCATGTCAAATTCATAGTTTCAGTAATTTTTTGTTATTGTGAAATGTGATTATCCTGGTGATTGTTGTTAATTTTGCTTGCATTGACTTAATGGAAAAGAGTTGCATTTGTTATTCGATTATAATCATGATGCTTTGAACTGTAGAGTTTATTTGATGCAAAGGTTGTAGTAGTGCAGTTTTAATAAATGCAAACTTTGCATTGATGTTGTTTCATTAAGTGGGTTGCTTTTTTTATTGATGTGGCTAGTTCAGATGTAAACCAATGGATGCTGAGGACTGTGAGCCATTCACCGACGTTTACTTGGTCAAGTTTCGTCATGTCAACAATGCCAGGTGATTATAGCTGTTTGTTAATATTTTTTTTATGTGATATGCACTAATCAAGTTTGTTATTGTGCTTATTGAATGTAGAATAGGCCAATATGTTCCGTTTTTTCTACTGGATGATGGAATTGGTTGACGGCACATATATTGTGCAACTTTTATGTGTGGCATGTTTGAGGCTTTAATTCTTTCATATAGATTTGCAAAAAGGAAATTGGACGAGTTTGTTTTCCTTGGGAATCGGCTGCAGATCTCATATGCACCCCAATTTGAGAGCCTTTCTGACACAAATGAGAAATTAGAAGGAAGAAAAAAGGAAGTTCTTGCTCGCTTGAACCGTAAGTTTCATAATGTAAGACATGATGATAACCAACAATAAATGAAATATTTTAAGAAAACAGGTATTCATGCCCATGATTTATGAATTTCAGCTGCAAGATCCAAAGGGCCTACAGTTCCTTGCGCAATTACTTTCAATGATCCATTATTGGGTGGAACTCCAGCACAGATCAATAGCATTTCCCAACCCATAAACTCCAACCAAAGGTAGAACGCTACTTAATTCAAACTTCTAAGTTGCTCTGCTGAATGGAGTCTGGAATGGTATTTTATCAAGAAATTGACATGGACGATCTATTAATTTTTGCTTGTTGTAGGGAATGCCGAGAGTCGGGACATCTATTTCCCACTCAAGATCGTGTTTCCATCACAACGGTTTCTTCTGACAAGGTTTTTACTTGTTTTGTGAATGGCATTCAAATAATTTGATTTGAAGGAGGGCATTTCAAATTATTATTTACCACCTAATCTTTCCTTTCAAATTACATGTGAACTGGATGCAGTCTATTTTCTGTCATTACATTGCCTATTTACTATGGTGATTGATGTAGCGTGTCAGCAGTTGCAAGAATATGTACTGTGAGATATAGCTGCACTGTATTTGCTTGTTTAAAAGCCTCACATAATTGACAAGATAGTGTGTGTTAAAGCATCGCAATGAGGAAAAAGGATTCATGTAGCTGACCCCAAAAAGGTTGGGACAAGGTTTAGTTGATTTGAGTTGAGTTAGTTTATGTTGAACCATTCCTTGTTCATTAAATCCATTGTAGTCATTTTTGCTTGGTGAAAATAGCTTCTCTAATGGAAATTTATCGTTGGTTCATATTTTTTGCTGTCTTAACCTCCTTTAATGAAGGCTTCATTCCGAACTTAGCTCTTATTCTACCCAAACACACCTTCAAGTGGCCAGTAGCATGTTTCTTATCTCATCACTCAATACGTTGTGGCTGAAAAATAAGTTCCATTTTCTTCATGTTCAGTTTTGGAGTAGTTGACCTGCAGAAATTCTGCAGCAGCGTCAACCTAATTGTTGAACTCTGAGGTGGTAATGCATAATTGCTTATTGGAGTTTTTTGAATTGTTGTAAAGACAACTTCTTGACATCATTTACATTATAATTCCCCCAAACTTCCTCTTGCTGGTGGTAACTGCATATTCACTCATTCTTACTTCTTAGATCTCTTCAAATTATCATTGCGGCTAGATTGTCCTTGCCCTACAAGAGCATTTTGCATGGTTTTGTATACTAGGTGTGATGTAAGCTATACGTCACTAAAAGGTGTGGTAAACTCCCATTTTTTGAACTTATCCCATTTAAGTGCTGAAGTTGCTTAGTTCATATCTTTCTGGTGCTAACAAAACAAATGTTTTTCTTTCCTTTATTTGAATGTCAGGATTACTTCTCCTCGCGATCAATGAATCAGACTGTCCAGCTAGTCAGGGAGAAGCTTAATAAGGTTATCAAACACTTGAAGATTAAATACTGTTTTATGATTTCTTTTTGAAGTTTGGGTTGGACTTCATCTATACTATATTTTTCTTTTCTGTTTTAGATACAATCAAGTGTCGAGGATTTAGAAGCTGGGCCGTCCAAGAAAAGGCTAGTGGACAATAGAAGAAGAATCTGATGAACTTTTAATAATGGACAAGGCAGCTGTATTTCAAAGTTTCTGTGCCTCGTCTTTCTGTCTGTGCTCAGTTTATTAATCTCATGGCTTTGATTATTGTCTGCGGTAGGCCTCCCTTGCACTATTGGATGACTTACGCCATACTACTAAGTTACTGTACCCATAATTAATATTCTATAGTGTTGTGTAGATACTTGGAATGTATCAACAATTTTTCTGATCCGGTTTATCATCGACAAAAACGGAAAGGATATGATAAGCTCTGATCTCTGCTCAGAGTCTTGGGTGGATGTAAGCTTGGGTTCATTTCCAATCCTACCTCCCTTGGTCAAAATAGAAAAAGGACGAGCTACTAACATGAAATGAGCCTCACTTCCCTTCTTGTGGCTGGTCACTATACTGCTTAATTTGGATATTGGTTCATGCATTTTGTATTGTGATTAGTAGATATTGATTTTGTTTGTAAAGGTCAACTATACCTTCGTGCTTCTGCTTCTGAAAAGCAAATGTTTTTGGTAGCGTTTGAATGAGTTTAGTTGTTTTTCATGCACAACAAAAATTCACTAAGGGATCAATTCTCCTTCTGTTGTGTGAGGAAGGAAAATACAGTGGTATTTTTAATGTCAAGTGCGATGGTGTTAGGAATATTTGTCCCTCAACAACATTGTGGGATGTCCTATTTACGCGGGGAGGAACCACCATCAACTGTCAACAACATAACCCCTTAAAATGCCTCGTCACTTCAATTGCTTTTGCTGTTATTGCCATGGGCGAGACTCTCCACTTTATACCATCGGTGATCTTCGTCACCACCAGCCAAGTTAATCTTTCCTAATCGCCATCGAAGTCAATTGCACTGGTCATGTCATCACTGCCTCCCAGTTTAACGATTCGTGTCGGGTTGGTGTTGCGTAAGACTATGTCAATCCTCTACTTTGTTACACTGATCACTCACAGAACTAGAGATGTTCATGGATCGGATTATCTACGGGTCTCATTATCCGACCAAAAAAATAGGTCCAATAATTAGGAGTATTCATGGGTCGGGTTACTCACAAGTTTCATTATTTGGCCCAAAAAAATAAGCCTAAAATTCGATAGTTAGCCGGTCTAAGCCCAATATCCTTTAAAATAGGACTTGAATTTACCCTCAAACTCATTGCCCAGTCCAAAGTCCGGTCTAATAGGCCGCTCAAAAAAACTTATTAAAACCTGACCCAAGAGTTCGTCCACCAAGCCCAAGTCGCTCACCCTTTTTTTTAAAAAAAATTATACTTTTAGATCATTAAATTTGAAATTTTGAAATAAGTCTCCCAATATCAGAATTTAAAGTTTATATTCATTATTTTTAAATAAAATTGTATATGAAAAAACCCGTGAGTAGGTCCATCTAGCAAGCCCACCCACAGGCCGGTCCAATAGGTTCGTGGGTAAGGCTACGGGTAGCCCACCCCAGCTCAGCTGACCGATAACTCACTTGGATAAAGGCTTGAACCTACACTACCTAGTCCGACTCAAAAAAAATTTCGTCCACCTAACCCAACCTGACACATGGACACCCCCCACACAGAACCGCCTCCAGCACAGATTGTTGCCACTACTGACTCTACACATACTGTATTGTCCTATGAGCATAGTAGGCAATAAGGAAATGTTATACTTCTCTCCATGTGCGTTGTGCTTAAAAAGAAGGGTTGCATTGTTTTGTATTACAGAGAAACTACAAGGACTTACGCTCTCTACCGCAGAAGTATGGGTGTTTTTCTTGCTTCATGTGAAACGTAATTTTAGTCATTTGCAACTCCAAATCGGTTATAAATATGATAAGAACAATGTCCGAAAACGAAACTGTCAAATGTTTCTTTGGAGTTTCTCAGGTTTCTTTAGTGGATCAGGCAATATTTGATTATAGGGTTGTTTATTAGTTTCGGCTTCTGCAAACGAAATACAGTAGCCTTCGCGTAAGTTGCTTTGAATATATAATTTCTTGCTACAGAGCCTGTAAAGGGGTTTAAGGTTTTAAGCCACTGGGTGCTTTAAGCCACCGTCTGAACGCCATCGTTGTCATCTCAAACAACTTTACTTTGCTTGTAGCAAAATTCATTTCATTTTCGATCAAGCCACTGGGTTCTTTAAACCATGATCACAGAGATCTTCTAATTTTTGGCAACGATATTCTGGTTTTTAAGTCATCAACAATTCTGGTTTTGTGGATCATCGTTTCGATACCAGATTTCAATCACACATGGAAGACGCGGGAACATTGGCGTGCGAGGCTCGAAACTGAAGATCTAACCAGAGGTTCTTTAACTTAACAAAGTGAGAAGACCACTTTCTAAGATTCGTTCCCAAGAAGAGTAATAGGTGCTGTCAAGGCTTCATGATTTCACAAATAAAGGTCTATCTAGGTGGTCTCTCTGGGTGTTCTCTTTGCTCCCACCCCCTTTTTTTAAATAAAAAAAATAAAAAAAAAGTGAGAAGCATTCTATAATTAGAGACCTTGGCAGGCATACCAGATAGAGGGCAGGCACAAGTCCAGCAACAACATAATTGTTTTAGGAGTATATGCCATACACCAACTTTTATTAGAAGCTATTACAGACAGTAAAATGATCTCATTTTCCATAATATGTCCACATAGCCAATAAATTAACAAGAATCAAATTCCACCCAAAGTACGAAAAATCATCAGCATTCCATTTTCTGAATTCAATAAGTAAATACATGCATTTCTTGATAATAACGAAAGAAGGCAATGTAAATGGCATATCCAAAAAAGAGTGAAAATTTTCAATTTTTATGTTTTTAGTTGATATTTTAAGACAAGTAAACCTGGACACTAGCCGTTTTCGGCAACTGGCATACAGGGCAAACATTGAATAACCCTTCACAATCTTTACACAAACACAAGTGTCTACAAGGCATTAACAAGATAGATAACTCCTTACCCTTGCATGCTCTGCAAATCATATTATCCTTCACGGATTTCATCAACTTTCCAGCCCCACTGGGAACATTGACGTAATTGTTGGTGTAACTGCAGGAGGCAGCATCATCTATATCAGAGTCTCCAAATCCTTCTTTGGCTTGGTCAGCACCATGTAGTGCTTGCTGGAGTTTGGTTTTCAAGATGCTAACAACCGATTCGTTGTATTTGGCCCTGTAGCACCAATTCTGGGCTTCCATTACCACCTTCTTCATTTTCTCAACTAGTTCCCTGTTCTTCCGATTTATGTTCTCTAACTCTACATCTTTCTCATGTAACTTCTTACCAACACCTTTCTGTAGAGCAGTCAGAAAAGAAGCCGTGTGTCTCTGCTTAATGTCCCTTAACCCCTTCACTAAATGTATTTCCTGTTTAATTAGCAATATAGCAGGAAAAAACATCATTAATTATTTACTAGTTCAGTCTTAGAAAAGTAAATTCATAAATATTATACTGAATTGGATTAGCTTTTCCCAGGTCAAACATCAAATAAACACCATTGATAATTCAGAGAGTAACCCATTGAAGAAATGAGGCTGGAGTAACATTTTTCACGTGATAATGCAAGGAAGAAAAAGGAAAGAATTTGAAATGGTTAAAGTAATGGCATGTTGGAAGACTGATAACAGCGCATCATATTTGATAAATTAGTATTAAAACCCTGGAAAAATCACCTCGAGCTAAGTACAAAAAGCCAATTGCAATATCTATGTAAGTGGTGAAACAGATACTGTGATAACTAGAAATCCATGTCAAAATATGGTGAAAAATCCTTTGCATGAATGAGGAACTAATATCGTTTTCTTTTTTTTTTTGGAAACTAATGAGGTACTACTATCAACATCATAAACATGACAAATCGGTCAACTAAAGATCAACTTGTTTAGAAATTCATTCAGATTACACCCAACCATCGTGGAATATCTAGCAAGGCTCCAATACGAATACCGTACTATGGCAGCAGATAACATACACCTAATAGTTCACTGGGAGAGCGAGAGCCAACAATACCTGAGTCTTAATATATTGATCCAATTCTTCTGTTTGTCGATCAAGTTCAGTCATCATGTTGTCACTTAATGGTAAGATAATTGATGATGGTGCAGTCATACTTCGACTTGTAGAAGTGACAGAGGAGTTGCGTTCATCATCATCATATGATAGCTTTAAACCGGTTGACACAGGATTCTGGTTTTGAATAGCTGTTGGTCTGTCAGCTTCATCATGATAGATATTTTGATTCCAGGAAATCTGAAGCTTCCGCTGTCTTGAAATGTCTTTCGCTTCCCGGCCTCGTTTATTAGGCCGAAATATAGGGGTCTTATTCTCACTTCCAAAATAATTTACTTTATCAACAGTACATCCAACTGGTACTACAACACAAATTGCAATGTGGCATATTAAAGATCGGAGGAAATACTAGAAAGCCAACAAGATTGAATATAGGCAACAGATAACATAAACTGCAAGCCAAGATAAGAAAGATACTAATGGCATAGCAACTGCTCAACCAAGAGGATCACTACTAGTTTTGTTAAGCAACCACATTTAACTAATTTATCTAATTATTTTGAAGAAAATGTCACAAAACCCAAATATAAGCATTATTGTAACTCCCATGTAAATATCCACTGGACTAGACATAATAGGTAATGCAAGCCAAATTTTCCCACTGCTGCTTCTTTCTTCTCTTATTACAATGATAAACGTTAGAATTCTCAAGTTCTTAATTTTCCATTTGGCAAGAGCTAAAAATATTGAAAATGGAAGAAATGAAACAGAAGAAACATGGTGATGATCCCATAAGTATATATGCTGACAATGACATTTTTCTATATTGATATACTGTACAAAACGTACAGCTGCCAACTACGCTTCAGACACAATTCATCATTGTAGCACTTTCCTAAACCACGATGAACAAAAGGTGGCATGTATGAAAGAACACTCTAATAGGACTGCTGGGGACCATCCCCAGTACTCCCTTAGACTGTTCCAAAAGGTTTGATGAGTTCTATGCAAAAAAGAAAAACAAAAAGACATTGATAACATTTTGACATTCAAAATAAATTTTTGTTCTGCCTGATATAAAAATTTTCAGCTTCTTTTTTGTATAACTTAGCCATTAACATTGGAATGAACAATGAAAATCCAAATTGTAAATGACTGTAGAGGGCAAGCTGCAAAAGAGGTCAAGCAATAACAGCTCCACATGTCACTCATGGTGAAAAAGAAGCAAATGTTTCCACCAGGTTATCCATTGGAATTCCTATCATATTAGCCAGGGTCAAAGCAAATGCCAAAGCAAACAACACCAAGTGTCAAGTCATTTATAAAGGTAAGGTAAGTAGTGAATCGTCTGGTTTGCTATTCTAGCACTACACCACCTGCATCCAATAGAAAGCCTGATCATGTGCAAGTGACAAGTAGGAAGGGTGAATATTTTTCTTTTCCAGCACTGATTCAAAACTAACTCAAAGTTTGGTCCAATCATAGCAAGTACTAACCTATGTACCAGTAAACAAGGACAACTACCTTGCTCAAGGGCTGCATATTTGGTAGAGCATAATAGCAAAAA